ATTGAACTCGTCGAGTTCTTCAAACAGATTGCGAATCTGTTTTGCTTCTGCTTTGGACAGTCCACAAATGCATCAAATTCAATAGAAAAACATCCTAGGCTCTAATACTACTGATGGGGTTTGAGCATAACAACATCCTATGTGATCATGCAACCCTAATTGCTTTGGATCTAAGCTTTTCACTAATTGAACATGCAAAAGAAATTTCAAAGCAATAACCCGATATCTAGCATATATAATTCGAAATTCATTCATAAAAGGATTAAGAAGATTACCTTGATTGTTATATAGCAATAACAAGAATTCGTTGATTGATCTTGACTCTTGAAAGCTTAGTGCCTCAAATGTTGCACCTCTAATGGCTCACAAACACTTGTAGCAAGAAGATGAGAGGAAAGAGTAGGCAATATGCAGAAAATTAGCTAGGGTTTCTATGCCCTAAGCATTGGCCGAAAACCCTATGCGAAGGGGTTTTTAATTAGCTGAGGCTGCTAGGGTTTTCAAGTGGAAACCCTAATTTCATGCTTAGGTCTTAAGCAGTCCATTTACCTCCTCTTCTAGAAGCCTTGGACGAGTTCTATATGGCCTCCCTATAGTTTTCATCCACTCCATTCTAAAGGAGTCTAGCAGCCCAGTTTTACAACTATCAATGATTTGCAAAACAGCCCCCATTCTTTTAATCAGTTCCTTTAATCCCAAAATTAATTCCAAATTAATTTTTGATCAAATATTAATTAAACAATAGGATTTCTAATTAATATATTATTCTCATAATATATTAATAAATCATTTATTAACCTCTCTCTCCATAAGTCATCTTGTCAAGTTGCTAAAGTGAAGGCAACCCAAAATGACCATGCTACTATTAAATCAAGTACATACCAATTATAGTTATGGGATTAGACACCTAATCCAACATATTTTTCATAAATGCTCTCACTACTACACCATTTCCCATCTGAGATCCAAAGACCTCTTCATTAAGACAATGTTCCTCATCTCTTCTACCATGGATCACAATGAAGGGAACCTTTGAGTTTCGTCTTGGTGACTCTCATAACTCGAAGCTTTCAAAGATTGGATCCTATTAACTTCTTGGTTACAAAGACTTGTTCTTGCTCTTTTTTTTTTTGGTGAACATGAAGTTTGGAATCTATCTACAATACTTCAACGATGAAAGGCTCTCTCTCTCTTACACACACACACATACACACACACACACACACACACACACTCTCTCTCTCTCTCTCTCTCTCTCTCTCTCTCTCTTTGTGTGTTGTGAATTTTGTTTTATGTTGATGAATCCGATCTTGCTTGTGTATTCTTTTATAGACAATGTTGGGGTGCAGATATCTCGGAGAAGGGAAAATCATTTATGGCCTTTCAATTCAAAATATTTGCTGAATCGGGTCTTTCTTGTGTATTCCCGTGATGTATTACATGCACCTACCCATTCTCTCCCAACAAATCTTCTATTAAAGAAGTTGACGATTCACTATATCTACCCTACACTGATAAAACTTCGACATTCTTTGCCGATGCGTACATTCCTCACCAAAATGTATTACATGCATCATTCCATTCTCTCCTTTTATTCTTTTAATAAAAGAAGTTAATGATTCAGCATATGAAACCAAACGCTGATGAGACTTCGCAATACTATGTCAGTGAATGATACTTCAAACCCACACTATCAGGAGACATCACCATTTCACTTGTTTGTCAGCTGCAACTTCGATCCGCTGATAGAGTAACTTTGATACACTGACTGCTTCCGCTGATGATTCATTCCACTAATGCTATGTCTCACTGATACATAATTCACTTATCTCAATGGTAACTTTTGAATGACGATTGAAAGATGTAACAACATTTTAGAATACAAAAATTTTACGACACCGATTTCTCTAATCATGATTACGTAAAAGGGAAGAAAATCCACGGATAAATTATGAAAATTATCTCTCCCAGGTCACTTTTTCAACTCATCGAATTAGTAGAAGTTTTCTCTCAAACGTTTTCTCGATCATCATCGTCTCCATATCAAGTTCCTCAAGACTTTATCATGTCGAAGGTTCTCTATGTCTTTGCTCCTAATGCTAATGTAGTCAAAAGCCCTCATGCTCCTCGCACTCCCATTGTTTTCCAAGCAAACAACGTTGCTTTCTCGGATATCATCCCAAATCAATACAAGGATTTAGGGATTAAAGATTTCGTCAACTACGTCAAAAGCCGCCCTCTTCGCTATGCCTTATGTGATTTCTCGTAGCCATTCTACCCTAAGAAAGTATGTGAGTTCTACTATTCTTTCATTGCCGATTCTAATGCTCAAACCATCACCAGAACCATTGGAGACAGTTACTCTATGGTTGTTATAAATGCACCATTTTTTCGACTTGCTCTACGTCTTCCCCAATCGGAAAACTATTTTGAAACCCTTTCTGAGGAAAAATGCAAGTCTATTCGATACAGATTAGGGTATAATTTCTCTCCTTAGGGTACTACTCGTGACCCAACCAAATACACTCTTCGTCAATGCTATTGTGCTTGGTGGAAGTATCTAATAGGGGTAATTGGAAAATGTCTTGGTCATAAGACGGGAAGTTTAGACCAATTGAATCTTTTTGAGAAATGAATTATGTATGCTATGGCCTGCAATAAAAGATTGGATTTTGCACAACTCTTTTTTGATCAACTGGTTGAGTGTGTCACTAGGAAAAAGAATCCAACATACGTTTCATATCCTCTTTGGCTTGCACTAAATCTGGCTCGCACTGGAGGAGGTTGAAATGTCAATCATGGAGTCTCCATTCCAATTCCTGTTCTCTCATCAAATATTATCAATGGTCGTCCCAATGATGGGGATATACACCTTACTAATAACATGGAAAATTGGGTTGCAAATCCTTATTTTATTAATACCTATGCTTCTGAAGAAGAGGATTATGGGGGCAATAATGAAGATGAAGAATATGACACTGATGATGAAGAAGATGAATTTGACGCTGGCATGGGAGAAACCTTAAGTTAGGAAGGACTAATCCTCCCCGAAGAATAAACCAACACATTAGATTTTATTCGACCTCTACTTTATCAACAAGTCCTACATAAGATATAGCACAACATAGATCATCCCAACCTCAAGTGGAAACCGCTGATCCACTGATTCAAGTTGGGAATTTTCCAAGATCAGCGTCTCCTTCTCCTCAAGCTGCAACTGTCCCTCCAATGTCAACTCCTATACAACCTAATGCTACTTTTCAGGGGGAGTCTAGCTCAAAATTTCAAATGACTATGCTCTTTCAACTCTCCTTATTGTTTCAGATGACTCAGTCACTTGGAGAAAGACTGACAAAAGTCGAGAGTGATGTAGCTGACATCAAACGTATAATGGCCCTGATTGATGATGATGATGTGATGATTGAAGACACTCCTCCTAGCTCTCTAGGAAATGATCAACCACCTCCACCATCAAGTAATACTCCACCTTCACCACCATCAAATCCCCATCTTTGCACTCCTTCTCCACCTCATGACTCCCCTCCCAAACTGATGATGCCAAAAAGGTGGAGAATAATCAAGGACTAATGAGAATGATTGCAACTCCACTTCAGCCTGATCAGGCTGAATCAGAAATGAAAGATAATGAAGGAGAAAGGGTAGTATGAAACAGTGGGTGGTGAAAAGCCTATCCCAGACGCTGATGATTAGTCTGAGACTGATCCTGGATCTACAAGCCCAAACTACTCCTCCAAGTGTTCCTCTTCTTCTTCTTCACCACAAATACCAACAAATCACTCTCAAGCTCAAAAACTCACCAAATGCTCTTAGGGTTTCGATATCAAGGTAAAGGGAGGTGGAGGCTGGTCAATAAAGGTCCAAGAAAGGGTTTAAGTCATTTAAGTAGGGTGCAAACCCTAAAAATTAGGGTTTACCCCTTCACTACGTACGCCATGCGTACTCCACGTACGCCCTGCGTACGTGGGTGGAACCCGCGATCATCAAATGGGCTAGTACACTAAGCTTACTTATAGAGTACGCCCCGCGTACTAGCCAATGACCAAAAAGTTAACAATTTTTGCATTAAGGGATAAATGAGAAACTTACCAAAACTTGAATGTTACACCACCACTACATCTCATCACCACATGCCACTCCATTAACTTCGGATGGTGTTCACATTTCCACTAACTTGTCATGTCACAAAGGAATGGTTTCGTTCTTCTGATGGTCTTAGCTACCGACTAGCTTATTAGACAAAGTCGTAACTTACTACTCCGATGAAAATTATTCATTTCTTTACTCATTAATTGAGCACTTCTCTAGTCATTAATTAAGGTTTATCTTTTGATATCAAGATTTTAGAAAATACAAATATGAAAATTATTCACTTATCTACTCATGAAGTTACATATATAAATAGTTATTTCGGTATATTAAAAATAATAATACAAATATGATAATTTACAAGATTTACTTAATTTTCAACTTTCATTTACGTATTTTGTGGATTGTATTATATATTAAATGTGTTAAATTTAATTAATTAGGATTATATATTTAATATATATTTAATTTTTTTACAAATTATATAATTAAGAAAATGTTATTAATACCTTAAAATATGATAGTATTGAATATTAATGATATTTTCTTTTGTGATCATTGTTATGATTTTTACTTAATAAAGTGTTAGTATTCATAAAACATAAATAAGTTAAAAGTTAACTATTATTTAAATAAATAATTATAACATTATAAAATGTTATGAATTATTTAGATAAAATAAAAAAATAAAAAAATGTATGCATTATTTGAGTATTGTGAATCGATGATGCTACTTGACTTGGTACTTTGGTAGGATTCGGAAGAAAATTGACCTAGCGACCAACCAAACAACAACGCGGTTTCAAGCTAGCCTTCCCATGCAGACGTTGACTTCACTCCACCAAAATCTTCTTTAAAATATCTCCCCCATCCTTGCATTCATCAAATTCACATATACATTCGTTATGCATGCATTAAAATCACCATTAATGGCTTCTTCCCTCTATATCCGCACCTCCTTACTCATCCTTGCACTCTTCCTTTCCCCGATCTCTTCCGCCGTCGTACCATCAGCTAATTCCTCCGTTTGTCAATACACAACCTACCCATCATTCTGCCGATCATCTCTCCCCATCAACAACTCCTCCGCCGATGTCTACGACTATAGCCGCTTCTCCGTCCGTAAATCCATATCGGTAGCTCATAAATTTTCCTCCTTGATAGATAAATACCTGAGCCGCTCCTCCGGTTTGACAACTGGTGCGATTCGTGCTCTTCAAGATTGCCAATACTTAGCTGGAGTCAACATTGACTTCCTAACAAACGCTTTCCAAACCGTCGACAAATCTCAAACGGCGCTTTCTACAATGAAATCCCAAGATATTCAGACGATGCTTAGTGCCATTTTAACCAACACACAGACATGCATAGACGGCCTCCAAGCCACTGCTGCTTCTTGGAGCTCTAAAAATGGAATTTTGGCCCCCCTTGCTAACGACAACAAATTGTATAGCGTATCCTTATCTTTGTTCAACAGAGGATGGGGTGTTAAGAACAAGAGGAAAAGTTCTTCTTCGGTTTCAGCTCATAAGAAACATATTGGTTTTAAAAACGGACGGTTGCCTCTAAAAATGTCTGAAAGAAGCAAAGCCATTTTCGAGACGGTGGGAAGAAGAAAGCTTCTTCAGACCGACGATGGCGGAGATCAGGTTGTGGTGAGTGATATAGTGGTGGTCAGCCAAGATGGGTCTGGCAATTTCACCACCATCACCGACGCCATTAACATTGCTCCTAATAAATCTGCTGCCGCCGATGGTTATTTCTTGATTTATGTGACCGCAGGCGTTTATGAAGAGTATGTGAATATCCCGAAGAACAAGTTGTATCTGATGATGATCGGGGATGGAATTAATCAGACGGTCATCACTGGAAATCACAGCGTCGTAGATGGCTGGACCACTTTCAACTCTGCTACATTCAGTACGTACTAGCTAACGATC